GAGTGCTTGTTCCACTCCAGGCCTCTCTTCCTCTGTCCCTGGGGTCCTGTGGCTTCACCTGCTCCCTAATTCCCCAAGGAGGAAAGCTGTCAGGTCAGCAGCCTGCAGGCAGTGAGGGAGGAAGCCACCAGCCATGGGCCAGATTCAGCCTCAGAAACTGAGGGGACTCTAACCCAGGAGGGCCCACCATGGCCCAAGGGAGAGCCTTCAGCAGCACCACCAAGGCCCGTTGGGACACACCAGTGGCACAGACCTGGGCCTACATTAAGGCTGTGCCAACAATGGTAGCAGACACAGCCAGGAGAAAGAAACAGGAGGCTGGCCACCCAGGACCTGCCCTTCCGGCCCCAGACTACTCTCAGAGACCAGCCAGGGCTGTTAGAATCATTTCTTCCCTAGCCCTTCTCTAAATACTTTCTGTCACCTCTAGGTCATCTGGGAGCCACCTCCACTGTGGCTGGACCACCCACGGCCTGAAGCCACACCCCCTGCTGGAAGCCACACCCCAAGCCACACCCCCTGCTGGAAGCCACACCCCGAAGCCACACCCCCGATGGAAGCCACACCCCTGCTGGAAGCCACACCCCTGCTGGAAGCCACACCCCCTGCTGGAAGCCACACCCCTGCTGGAAGCCACACCCCCTGCTGTGGCCTTCCAAAACTTGTGTCCTGGAATAGCAGCCGCTTTTGAGGTGCTCAGCCTAGTTTCTCCCACCACACTATCCACGGCCACTGCCAACTGCCTCCTGCTCACCAAACACACTATCTCGCTTAACCCCACCTCTCTGGGAAGGAGGAACCAGCGTCCCCAGGGCCATTCGACCAGGAGGGGACAGCTAGGTCTAGGGTTATATAATCGGGGGCTACGCAGAGTTGAGATTTCAGCATTGTTCCCAAAGTCATCTATCTTATCTCAGCCCGAGTGGCTGGCAGAGAAGACTTCTTCGAGGAGGTGACCCTTTCCCTGAATCGTCCAAGATAACAAAATGGAGCGTGTGAGGGAACAACGGTGTCCTGGGAGGGTAAAGAGCACACTAAAGGCCTGGAGGTGAGAAGCAGGAGGAAGGAGACCGGAGCCGCGATGGTGGCCAGGCTCAGAGGAAGAGGCAGGAAGAGGCTGGAGGGCAGCGGGCACGGGGCCCGACAGGAAAGGTGGACAAAGAGGCTCCTGTGCCCACTTCATCCGCAGGGTGCTTCCGGGGAGAACAGCTTGGGCGGACGAGGACACCGAGGTTCAGAGAACCGCTCTCTGCCCATGATGTCATCCATCCAAAGGGGGAATGGAGTGTGGCCTGCACTCAAGGGCTACATTACAGCCAAGCTGTTATCATCCATAAGACCACCACCAAGCAAGCTCTGGGATTCCCGGAGCCTGGCCCGGACCAACTGGCGGGGTGAAGCCAGGGAGGCGGGGCAGTGCCTGCTCTTCCCCGCAGACTAGGGTGGATGGGTGATGGCAGCCAGCTGAGACAAGGGGGAGGCGGGTGAGTACAGAAAGGGGGCTCCCTGACCCAGTCTCCCACAAAGCAGCCCAGCAGCCCAGGAGCTGGGGCAGTGAGAGGAAAGGACCCTCACACATCAGCTCAGGATGGGAAATGGCCTGGCGGCACCTGTGCGGGCTCCACGGTCGCATGCCTAAATGCACGGCGAAGCAGCTTCACTTACACACAACTGTTCCGGACGCCTCTGAGCTTCTACGAGGTAGAAATGACTCAAGCGTCACAGGGTCAACCATCTCACAGACTGGAGGCGCGCCGGGCGATGCACATGGCCTCGGCGGCAAATGCTTGGCACGTGTCAACAGGTGCTGTGTTTGAGGGTCTGGGAGCCAAGGCCTGGCCAGAGACCAGACTCCCCACCTCTGCTCCCAGACCCCAGGAAGCAACAGGAAACCTAGGCCTCCGTGAGTTCACAGTCAGGAGTCCCACCCAACTTCCCCTGGCTGGAGCCCTAGGGCGGCAGACTTTTCCTCTGCTTTGAAGGCACTCTGGGAACGGAGGCCCCAGTCAGCTTCCCTTCCCTAGCCCGCCAGCTGGGGGCCAAGCGCCTTCCCTGCAGATAAGGATCAAGACTTAGAAGACCTCAGTGTGAGTTCCAGCATCAAGGAGAAGCTGCATGACCTCTCTGCACATAGGGGACCTCTTTGCATGGGGTCTGTGCCACCTTTTATGTGTGTTTGTTTGTTGAGACTGGGTCTCGCTATGGAGACCAGGCTGGCCTCGACTCATAAAAATCCACCTGCCTCTGCCTCCAGAGTGCTGGGACTAAAGGCACAAACCACCAGGACCAGCTCTGTGCCACTTATTTTATAATGACAAGTCTTGAGGGACTCGTCTAGGCCTGAGCTCAGCAGCAGCCTCCTAGAGGAAGCTTGTCTCAGCTCCCTCCTTCCCTTCGGCCGCCGGTACTATGGGCCACACCAGAAGTGTGGATTCATTGTGCCTACATTGGCCTTGTTTTCAAATTACAACCACTGCCCTTACCCTATCTTGTAGCCTAGAAGGGTGCAGAGGCTGAGCAACCAGGGTCCTTATGGATGCAGCAGAGAGGGAGGTATCGAGGGTAGAGTAAGTCTGGGCAGGTGGCCTGGAAAGGGGTATCCTCTGTGTGTGTGTGTGTGTGTGTGTGTGTGTGTGTGTGTGTGTGTGTGTCCTGGAGCTGGAGTTACAGGAGTTGTGAGACGCTGGACATAGGTGTAGATGCTAGGAATGAACTCTGGTCCTCTGCAAGAGCATTAAGTATCTTAACTGCTGACCGATTTCTCCAGGTCTGTGGGGAAGAATTTCTAAGTACCTTCCCCTCCCCTTCTTGCCAGCCCCGTGAGAAGACTCCCCATGTTCTAAGGTAGGACAGAGAGACAGGTTTCCTGCGGGGCGCCTGGGGAAGCAAGCTCAGTAGTCAAGCAGTGTGCAACCAATGTCTGCTGCTGCCAGAAGCCGCTACACTCTCCAGACCGCTGGCGTCATGGACTTCTGCCCACCGCCTGCCTAGGAGTCCACCTCACTCATCTCAAACCAAAGCAGCTTCCAGACTGCGTCAGAGCTCTCTTAGTCCTGTCTCAGATTACCAGCCACCCCTGCTCATCATGCCCACATCCTTACGCAGAGTAACAGGCCCTAGTATCCACATCACACCCTCCACTACCATAGTCCATGCCCTAAGCCAACAGGCAGGGCAGGCAGAGATCTTGATAAATTCTGCCACCCTGTGCTGTGTGACCTTGGGCAAATCACTCCACCTCTCCGAGCCAGTATCTCTATCTATAAAACGAGAGACAAGGCAAGCTTCACAACCGCACTCACAAGACTAAAGATTTTAAAGAGCCAATGGGACAAGATACAAGGTTTCCATTTCTGAACCCTATCCTCTGAGCGCAGCTCTGAGAAAACCACAACAACTCCCAGGCATGAGTCCCTCTCATGTTTTTTAGGCTAAGAACTCTGGTAGAAGATGCTTAAGCTCAGGCTTCTACTTGGCAGCTCAGTAGCCACTTGGAGCAAGTAACTCAATCCCAGGAGGCGGTTTTCTTCTGTAACATAAACCACTGTGAAGAGGGTTAGCACCCCACAGGCTGCAGTTAACCCCGGCGCTTGGGGGGCCTCATCGATCTCAGTGACATCACCAGTACTAGTCCTCAAAACAGTCAAGGCAGCAAAATGAGAAACTGAGGCAGTCAGGCTCAACGGGCCCAAGTCATGGAGCCAAAGCTAGTCCAGAGTGAACTGTCAGGCCGACTGGCCAACAGTCAAAAGAACTCAGTGAGGGCCGCCAGTCCTATGGTCAGGCAAGTGAAGGCACTCATTGTCAAACGCAAGGATGTTGAGTTTGAGGCCCCACAAAGTAGGAGAGAATCGACTCCCACAAGTTGTACTCTGATCTTCCCATGCATGCACCCCACCCCCAAAAATGTTAAATTAAAAAAAACACACCTCAAGGGCTCAACAGACTGCTTCCAAGTGGGAGTGAAGGTCAGCCTACCTTTCCTGACCCTCCCCGCTCTGACACTGTGCTCCTACGCTGGGGGGTGAGGGGCGCGCGGGGGGGAGGGGAGGCTGGCCTGATCCTGTACGCCCAACGCTGGCAGACACACAGCAGGCCTCCGGTGACAACTGAAACGCCTCCTAAGTATATGTGGCTAGAAGAGTCTGGGTTCTCAGTACCAGGAACTTCTTTCCTTTACCGCAGCGAACGCTCGCCAATTCGACTGCAGCCCCCACAGCCACCTGAATACCCTCCCAGCAAGAAGGAACGTGCATCAGTTGCTCAGGGTGTGCAAACGCCAGGCGCCAGGCTCGGCAAGGGCAGCGGGGCTCCCGCAGGGCCTCCCTTCCCTGCCCTTGCTCCGGTGGCTTCCAGGAAACACACTCTTCCTCCTGGGCCCCTCCTTGGTGGTGGCCCCATGACTCACAGCCAGGCTGGGCTGGCAGGAGAACGCTGCTGTCTAAAGGGTGACTCGACAGAAAAGCAGCGGGTTGTGACCAGGACCTGAGCCTACCAAGCGGCGGATGAGCTCCGGGGGTGCGGCCAGGGCAGGGCCTAGAGCCGAGCCCCGTACAGCACACCGCCGGCCCCACGATTGGCCGCTCAGGCCACGGGCCTATGGGGTGGTCCTTGCCCAGCCAATCAGGGGCCCCGGGGAGTCCATTCATTCATAAAACCGAGCGGGGAAGGATCCCCTCGCGGCCCGAACTGCGTGGAACTTTGAAATGAGCGCGCCCAGTTGGGCCCAGGTTGGGGTTCCGATCCGTGGAGGTTAGCGGTGTACAGGCGCTGCCGCGTCCCCGCCCACAGTACCGGGCCCGTGCAGCCCCAGCACGCGGCACTGGGCTCCACCCTAGGCAGGACACGCCTGCTACCCGGCTCCCGCCGACAGCTACGGGCCACCCGGCAGGGAACAAGGCCGTGAGCCGGGGCAGGTGGCCCCGTGACGGATGCAGCCACGTGCGCAGAGGAGCATGGCGCCCCCCACGGTTCCCCTTCCCCGCATCGCCGCGACTCACGGCAGTCGTCCTCGTCGCTGTTGTCTGAACAGTCGTTGTCCTCGTCGCATCTCCACACGGAGGGGATGCAGCGCTCGTTCCGACACCGAAACTGGTCCTCTTCGCACTCCTTGACCGGCCCTGTGGGGGGAGGGGGTTGTGAGCAGGATCACCGACTCCCCACCGTGCAGCCCCGGCTGCCGATAGGTCCAGCAGGTATAGGTAGGAAAGGAGGAGATACTGGCGGGCTCCGAGGCTTCAAGCACCTTAATCCAGAGGGAGGACAGGATGCCACGGGTTCCTCCGCTTCAGGACCGACTGATGGCACGGCGAGACCCGACCCAAGCTTGCGGCCCCTGGTTATACTCTGCATTTCACACACCCTCACCCTCACACACAGCTCAAGTCAGATCCACGCGGACCCAGCCTGAGGGGAGACCCGCACACTGGCAACACAGGCACCGGGTGCACCGGCTCAGTCCCCTCGCAACCTGTCACTCGGCCCGCAGGGGTCCCCGGAAATGCATTGTGCGGCTTTTGCTCATCAACGCGGCGGAGCGCGCGTGTCAAATAAACCAAACCTCTTAACCGAGACCCTGAACGACTACCCCCCCAAAGTTCATGGGTAAGGGGGGCCCCAGAGTCCACTCCCCAAGAGCATGCCAGGAGCGGGGGCAGAGCTTCGATACCCAGAGCCGCGAGCGGGGAGGTCCAGGGGCAAATCCAGGGAGCTGGAGCCCCCGGAGCCTCCTCTCTCGCCCGGCCTCGCCGCACAGCGCCCCCTCCCCCCGGCCGCGCTTTGTTGGCGGCTCTGAGCCGGCCGGGAAGAGCCGTACGCACCTTGGCCGCCGGGCAGCGGATCCGCTGCGGAGAGATGCTGGAGCTGCAGCAGCAGCAGTAGCAGCAGCAACAGCGCCAGCGGCCGGAGCG